TAAAATTTTTATGCTAAAATACCAAAAAAGGCGTCTTAAAATGTTTTAAAACAAGGAAACACCTTAATTTTGCGACTCTGCTTCTGCGGCTAAAGATAAAGAAAAAATGTACTTGTGGGAAAATTATATATAAAGAAAATTAAATGCAGGTCTCTAGTGGTTTTCTCTGCGGTTTCCGCCACGTTGGACTGACTGCACTTGGTTTGATGAGTAATCCCTGGCAGTCTGCAACCAACATTTATTCCCTGTCGACTGCCATTTTCTGCGGACGAGGCCAAGTCTGCCGCAATGAAAAAACCGTAAAGCATAATGCCCGCTGACATATATATTTTTTTGATTCTCCAGATTTTCCCCATTCTCTGCACAGCCGATTCTTGAAATAATAAAGAGAAATTATTGGCGTACTGCGTCTGTGGGGTGCGAATGTCCAAGTAACCTGTTCGTTTGAGTGGAGGTGCAATATATAATACGAAACCATATTTTGGGACTTTAGACATCAACTCCTTTAATCCTAGAGCACTTGACTTGTACGTGAGGCGATTAACATAATTAGATGAGCCAGCTCGGCCCTAAAAAATACAAAACTCAACGCTCTCAACAACACTTTATAGATAAGCAAAAGTGAAGTGTGTGCCAGGGACTGCCATCATGTTTAAATATTTGCACAATGAAAACGATGCCCACAGCAAACCGTAATTCCAAACCTCCCTTGCTCTTGAAAAATCCCACAGGTGACAGGAGACAAACTTTGTCTTAGCAGCCACACATCAGGTTTAAACATTAGCATCAACTTTCGGTGCTGGTTTTCCCCCCTGGGCACTTAAACACCTACTTAAGTGCTCAGGCAGAATTTTCACAAAATCCCTGTGAGATTTTAATTTTCTCACGTATATTCGTGTGCAGAGCTTGAGCTTGCATGATTCCTAAAAAAAAACCTAATTTCACAAATGCTAATTGGTTAATTGGACTGTTGTAATAAATTCGTTCGGTCGATACATGTTTTGGTGTTAAGTGACGTTTTAAAACTAGTAAGCCGAAACGAAGCTCAAAATTTAGAGAGGCAAACATTGACTTTAATTTTCAATTACATTTTTTTACAGCATGTTGGATTAATTGATGACTGAAAAAAATCAACATAAACTTTTCCAATTGATCAATGGTCCAATGTAATCTTTTTTCACAATTTATTCAATACTAATTTGACAATCATTTAAGTTCAAGTGGAATGCTCTAACAAAACACCACTTTAGAACTTTTATTCAAGAAAGCCAAGTTTAAATAATTGAGTTGTAACAAAACAAAAGATTTTTCTTTCCCCATTCGAAAGTTGGCGAGGGGATTTTCTTTGCTTATATATGGTCCTGGTGAACTTTATCAATAATATGAATTTCCAAATACATTATATTTAGTCAATTTTACAATGCTGAATAATTACCCACCATAAATCTTTTTATGCTAAAATTTATATACTGCAATTAATTTTAACTCCTAGTTTTTATTAAACATTTGGAAAAAAAATGAACTTAAAAATAAATTTTTACAAAAAAAAAACCTACCTAAAGTGACTGCATAGCCACAAACGTTATTTTGACAACGAACTGACCCTTTTCACCAGTCCACATCCGATAATAAAGAGAATCCGGAATACATAAAAACATAACATAAGTTTTGCTTTCACCTAACAAGTAAAGTGACAGTCACTAAGTTGCAAAAAGGAAAACACGATATGTGGACAATGAAAAGGTGGAAAGCAGCCGTGGGTTTCCGCTTGCCGCTTTTAAAAATAAATGGAAAATAAATACATTTTATATAAAGAACTATAATAAAAGTTTAAGACTGTTGACTTTTTTTCTAAATAAAAGAGAATATATAATTACAACAGTTTGTAGGGGCTTTAAAAGTTAAGTCATTTAATAAACTAAATAAGCCATTTGGTGCCATTCGGCTTTTATACCCATGACTCACACATTATAATTTTGGCCTTAAATTGGTTTTTAATTTTTGCTAAGATTGATATTCAAAGTGTTTACAATTTCTATATCGTAAAATATACTGATAGAACAAACGGAACTGTAATGAAATATTCTTAGGCAAATTTTAAACTCATTTCCATTTTCAGTCTAGTCTAGTTTCGAGCCCAGTCAGCCTTTAAATCCCGTTCCGACATTTTTCTAGTTTCACAGAGATTTCCCCGAGGCTTCGAGCTATTTTCTGCGTCGTCTGTTTGAGTATCCAAGTGGAGTGGGTCAGACAACAGAGGGTAAACGAAATTGTTTTGCTATGGCTCATGGTTGGGTATAAAAAACAGCTGCAAAGTGCCGCAGACAAACAGACCGATAATCATCTCCAGTGTCCCCATTTTTTGCATAACCGTAAAAACTTTTAGTTATTTTTCGCATAATACATTTTTTATCCGTACTTTTATGCATTTGTATATATGTTAAGCTTTAAAAAAAATTATTGGTCTAGCTTACTAAGTGAGTCATCAAAAATTGACCAAGAACATCTGCAGTTCCAGACACATTTTAATGGTGCACAACATATGCATGACATGGAAATTAAAAGCAAATATGTGCGCTTTGTGAACTTTTTGCATGGGGAATGTTGAATTCTAATATTCACTCTACTCCTGTATTCATACATCCCAACGAGTTGAGAGTTTATGACCAAGACAGAGTTTTTTGATGTGTTTCCATTGCCTGAGACGACATTTCAGCTGACCACGGTTAAATGATTTTAGTAGCAGAGAATTGCCCCAACAATTATTAAAATGGCTGACAAGCGTCGCCCATATGCACACACCGCAAATCGTACTGAATATTCGGGAATATAAACACTGACTAGCGCTGGAAATGAGGAGGGTTGAATTTACTTTTGCTACGTGACTATTCGTAATTTTTTGTATGGCACGCTGCGTATACGTAATGCGAGGCGAACTAACCCATGGCATTTGAAACTGCCTTGGCTCCTTGGAACCCCATCTGTCCTCTTCCCTCTGTCCTAACTTTCCCCCATTGTCATTTTTTGTATGCTAATGTCACCAGTCTGTTCTTGGAGCTCTTTTCGCATTCTCATATCCATTATTATACTTTTTTTTATTCTTTGTTTTTGTGTTCCCAAACCCATTCTTTCTTCCTATTACGAATTACATCTGGTATCTCACAGGATAGTCAGATGAATTAGCTGTGGAAAATTACAAGTGACAAGGAACAGCTGAGTTTGAAAATACATGTGACGTTTTGTAGTTAATTTCAAATTAAGTCCACACTGTTTTAAAATTGTTCACGTACAAAAATAAACGAAAATAAATTATAACCTAAGAATTGAATATCTAAAGAAACTCTTAGAAAATTATTATTTTTCTTTTATTCCAATAAGCAATTTAATTTGTATGCCTTCATGCTGAGCTTCAGGTGACAAATTGACGTTCTTTATCTGTGTGGTATTGAGAATAAAAACCTTTCTCGGCAGTCACAAATCGAATTGTATGATGGCTTCATGCTTATTATTGAGATTCCTTTCTCCTTCCGTTTTTTTTCTGCGATGAATGACAGGATTGGGGCTTCACAGTGTGACAGGCAACTTTTGGTTTGGCCTCTGGATTTCATATTGGATTATGAAAGGCAAGTAGGAAAAGAACTTTTCGCTCTATACACAACAGGTTGCCACCTATGCATCTTTTGATATCTTTACAGACTGAAATGGTTAGAATACTTTAAATTTAAATAAATCTTATATAAAATACATTGCTTAAAATTTCACACAATTTTGGTTAGTAGCCCTAAAGTTTATTTTATTCTTCTAGAAAATAGTAGATTAATATAAACTTAAGTTAACTGATTCTTTAGAAATTCCTAAGTGCCTAAAAATCTGGATTTAAACAGAAAACTTTTCTGGTTTTCTTAGCAAGCGAGCAAAAGAAAAGGTTGTGCCAATAAATTCTAGTGCGATTTGCGATAAGCAACGAATGCAATTCGTGAAAGTACATGAATAGCAAATGGCGTGCCATTTTGAAAGTTTACTTACAGAATGAGGCGCCAAAGTAAATCGAATTGGGTAAATCTGTTGCATGCACATGCACCATGTACTTTGTTTATGTTCAAGAGTATATGTAGATAAATTGCAGCGCTTGCTTTGCTGTGATTTTGTGTAGGAATATATAGTAAATAGTAAATACCTTAGAGTACCTTTATTGACTTCACATTGAGAAGCAAATCCGTTGGACAAACGCCGAAATAATTGAAACGTGATGTCAAAGTCCTCGGCTGAGTGGGTAATTCCACCCTCGCTCCCAATGTAGAATCGCTCATACGCAGTCTGTGCCTGTCGGACTATCTGTTTGTTCGACTGTCGTTCCATTTAGCCGCTTGTCAGTTTTCCCGGACTGCTTCCATTGCAATTTTCCCATCCGGCCGACTTGTCTCCCATTTCCGTGATGCGCTTTTCGCCCACGTAATTGTGCGTGCCAACGAGATCGACCAAATACCCTCTCTAAGTCGGGCCAAAAGGGCCTCTGAATGTATTTCACTGGTTGGCCTATTTGACGCCATCACTTTATTGGCTGTTTTCTGAGCGAAGAGCTAGTGGGGAAATTGACACACACAAATGACCCTAGGGTTTGTCTTCAATCGAGGCTTAATTGCTGTCAATGCCAAAAACTATGAAAATGTCTAAATAAAAATTAAATATGTTTAGGGTAGCAGATTTCATAATTCCTAATTTGTTAAATACATTTACTTACACACAAATCCTCATTCAACAAAATGTCTTCCACAAAGTCCCAACACACAACTTTGACACCCAAAAACTTTGTATATAAAATACTTTTATTTTGGGAGAGATTGTTTAAGCTTGAATAAAAGAAATATACTCCAAACTATTGTCTAGTAGGTATTTACAATGAAGAAATCCAAAAATCGACATTTGTTCGTGCTATTAATCAACTTGCAGATCCGTCATACATCACTCAGAGAATCCCACTTGATTGCTTTTTACTACAGATATTGGATCCCAACAAAAAACACCGTCACTTCCACATCCCAGAGCCAGTGCAATTTTTCTGCTGACGGCCAACTTCACGCACGTCCTGTCTATAAAGTGCAGTGCTCACTAAGCCAATTTCAGGGTGTTTATAATTGAAAGTCGCCACCAGCGATAAAGGACTAAGATAAAGAGAAATTGCTTTCTGAATAAAATGATTGTACCAGAACGGCTTGAAGAAATGTAAGTATTTGTTAGACTTTAAAAATAATTAAAGCTTAGACTATAAAATTAAATTTATAAATAGCTATAACATGGTTGTTTTTCCGTCGGCTGGTAATCGCATTCACATCCACAAATCACCGTGTGCGACGAAGATTTTGGCATTCATACTTAACGTGTTATTATAGCTAGCGGCGCCTGTCATTAATAATTCAAGATTCATTATCCCTTATCAAGTTAATAAACTCAGACATTTAAATCAGTGCAAATATGGTATGCGTGTGGGAATTCGGATGCCACCAGGGCACTTTTCTCTTTAGAAAGAAAGGTTACTGGGGCCACAATGATAACAAATATACTTACAAAGAATATTTAATTTGACTAAATCTGATTTATGCTGTATGCTCGTTGAAAAATATTACTGCCTGCTGCTACCTGTCAAGAATCGATTAGGGATTAAATTTGTTTAAAATATCTTGGTTAAAATTGTTTCTTAACATTTAACACAAGAAACTTTGAATTTGTTTCGATACTTAGCAATTAAGTTGCTCAAATCATTTATTCATTTCAACTTTCATGACAAATTTAATTGTGAGTAGACGTTGAAATGTCACAAAAACCATCGTCTAAATCCCCTCTACTTATAACCATTTAGTGGAATTTCTCGTTACACTTTTGGCATGCCGCATTGCATCCGCAACTCAGTTTCAAAAGTTTCACTTCGTTTTCGCTTTTTGTGCCAACTTAATTATCACAGCATCAACGTTAAAAGTGTTTTTCGGGGGCTGCTATTGCTGCAAATGCAATTTTGTTTAAATTGTTTGCACACAAAAGCGGAAAACTTTCTTTCCACTCATTGGTGAATTTTGCGCAGGATATTACCTTTCTTAACTTTTACCAAGGTAAAATATTCAGCGAAGTTTTTAAGTCCAGGTGTTACATCATACTTTTAAGTTAAGGTATCTTAATTCTTTAGGAGTAAAGCATGACCTTTTGATAAATAAGCAGGAGATATATATAATCAAAGAAACATCACAATTTGTTTTCACTAATGAATGAGACTTCAAATAATGTCCTTAAATCTTGTAATTTACTTATGTCCTGACCTTTAAGTCATACGAAATTATTAGATTATATAATGTAACAGAGCCCAAATACTTTGAGGTTAACATTTAATGATGATATAAACTGTTACTTGTACAAATATATTTATCAGGCTCTGATAGGAAAAATGAACTATATACAATGCGTAAAGGTTCTTAATTTCAATGTCTCCAACGTTTAACTAACTATTAGAGCTTTCAATCAATATAAATGGGTATGCAATTCTAATTAATTTATTTGCAAAGGAGCCTCCAGTCAAATAGTGGCTCTTTTACCTCGAATCCTTGGCTGGCAGCGAAAACGGCATTCGATTCCACTGCTAACGGAAACCGGAAGTTGGCGGCATTTTCAGCCCAGCGATGTTCACCTTTTGTCATGCCAGCTTTCAATATGCAGTATTGTCCCATTGTATTTAACCTCTGTCGTTTGTTTACCACAAGGAGTAGAATAGCTAACCATTGTCCTTGTATAACGACCATCGATGTGCAGTTAGAGCTGCTTCTGTGGCGTTCGCTCTTTGTCAGTACTTACTTAACTTTGTGGCTTTACTGTGGCTCTTAGATCTTGGCCATAACAATGGAATCACCCAACTTCTCAAAACTTTTGCCACAGGGACAAAGGCAGCTAATGATGAGCAATGACTATTAAAAGCCGTCCAGGATTTCTTTTGTCTAATTGGCTGATAACTTTACCGAATGTTTCACAAAGTGCGCAAAAAGCATTTTTTATAAAGGTTTAAGAAACATGGAAAATATAAAATGTACAAGATTTTATTATACCTGAATGGAAGACAACACAAGGCATCAATATTTTTATTTTGCGCATTTGTATTTGTATAGGCTAGATTGACTTAGATTGACTGTTAGGGTGGGGAATGTATCCTTCTGGCTGAAAATAAAATACTATTTGTAAGGATATGAAAATTAACGAGAAATTTATCTGGCCCTATAGAATATTAAAATTTTTATAACTTCTTTGTTTTTAAGATATTTGCTTACATGTTGCTTATTATGTATTATGTATGTAATGTATATATGTCGCTGGACATGGATCCCTTTCTATAAGTGGCAACGCTTGCAAAAGAACGTATTGCCATGCTTACCGTCAGTTAAGCACTTAAGCCATTTTCCTGCTGCTGCTCTTGATGGCTTAAGCCTCTCAATCGATAAGGCACTTGAAAACCAAGCAAGTCATATTTAATGGCACACGTTAGTCACGTAACTACATTAATTAAAAAGCGGATTAAGTCTGAATCGAATTCAGAAATAATTAAAAATATATGGTAACAATATACTATACAATATACTATACTAATTATAAAGCTTTACTACGAACAACACAGAAACTTTTTGGATGACCATATGCTAACAAAAGTACTCCCGTTGGTGCTAATGGCTATTGACATTCATTAAATATTCTTATTTGGTCCAAAAATGCTTTACTGCTTTATTTTGGCCTTTGATTCTAAGAAAACATACTTATTTGCTGTTGACTGTTGGCTCTTTTATTTTGTTCTTTATAATGTTACTCAACTACAGTAATGGACTTTCCTAATTGTTTATACCAAATTGTCTTCAAATAGGCTTTTAACTAATTGGCAAAAGTACAAATGCTTTGGTGGTATTAAAGAATGTTGCTGTCGTTTGAAGTAACTTTGTAATTCATTTAATTGTGAGGCCCAAGAGTCTTTGTTAATTAACATAAGCCTGTGAGAGTAATATTAAAGAGGCTTAAGTCAAAAACCAAAAGCTATGTTATTTGCCTAATTATTAAGGTTCAAAAACAATATACCCGATTTTTACCTACTAGTTACTAGAAATGAATAAAGTCGATGATGTAATTTGTTTCCAGCTTAAATGGTTAAATAATCAATATGCCGTTTAAAGCACAAGTAATAATTTTGCTAAACTTTTCGTAGACTAAACTATTATGAAAATAAAAAGTTGTTGCCATTAAGAAAAGCTTCCGCCTCAAGACGTTTCAATGACATTGACAGTAAATGTTATTTAATAATTGGCAATTTCAAAACAATCCATCGCGAATGCAATGTAAGAGAAGAACTAAACAAGGTAAACTATATTCTAGCAAATTGCTGAAATATTTAAGGAAATTCGGAAATGTGAGCAAGATTTTGTCAAGACTACAAAACAATACTATTAATAATATGCGAAAGGCAACTTTAATTATGTTCTTATTGAACGCGACGGTTAAATTAATATACCATAACCATTTATTTTCAATTAAATATGTTTGCCAAAAAAATAAAATGCTTGTAAAAAATATATAAAATGTTCCAATAGGACGCATATTGAAGTGTTGAAAAAGCACAATAAAAGCCAGAAAGAGGATGGGCAAAAAAATCACCGGAAGCATAGAAAAAAGCGACCGGAAGTCATCGGTGACGAAACCAGCTGATATGCGGAAGGTTTGAAATAAATAATTTAGTGAGTCTGCAGGGAGGGAAATTCGAATAAATATTGCATAATTGATGTGTGCTTTGGTGTTTGAACCTTTCATTCAAGGGATAAAAAGTATTGAGTGTTTTGAAGGATGAGCTTCTTGACTCAAGGTGTAAAGCATTGGATAATTTTACTTATATTACTTTAGTCTTTTTATGTTGGTTGTAAAGTGCAGCCTTCATAAAGTCCGTAATTTGTTACTTGTTAAGAGAAGTACAAATGCCTGTACTGTCGTTCTTCCTTTCCCTCGTTATTTTTTGCGCGTTTGGGCATCTTTAAGGACATGGATGTTAAATTTACGCATTTCAGGCAGCCCCAACTGACAACCACTTGAGTCTCGTTTTTGCAACCACAAAAAGTTAAGCGCGTAAAATTTCACAGCTTCGCTACTTTGAAGCTTGTGAGGTTTGATGGTAATTTACGCCTGGATGTGTTTCGTTTTGGCTAACTTTAAAACTGCGTTGTTTTGAACAGAATTGCTTGATTTCCATACGTGGATTTTTTTCAAATTAATGTAGTTTAACATAAGCATATTTTTTTCGCCTCATAATCAAAAAGGCGGTAAATTAATAAATTCTCCATAAATTCAATTTACAACGCTTTTGTGGTTTACCATAAAAGTGTTTTAAAATTGCATGTTCAACAAAAGCAAGATGATTTTTTCGCTTTTGTGTACGGATAATGTTAAGCCCATTTAGGGCTTCAACACATTTTAGTTAATAAGTACACAGCGCGGACTCTGTAAAAATAAAGTAAAAAGTGCCTTGAAATGGCAGAATCCGATAATTTAATACCGAAAACGCCTCTGAAAAAATCGTAGCTCAAATTAGATTGATAAGTTTAAAAAAGGGAATTTTTTATTCAACGCTTTTAAGGACCCCAAAAATAATATAACCAATTTTCATCAAAAATACGCGTTTTAATTCTTGTTATTTAAATATTATTTTCTTTTATTAGTAAATATAAATTGAACGAACTGTATATATTCCCTTCAGGTAATCTGCTGTCATTTTTAGCCTACTATGCACCTTTTAGCCATGGCGCACCTTTCTCCAGGGGCTTCGACTTGTGGCATAAAGTTTGCGGTCACAGCAAAAGTGAAGCCTGCCAGACTTTTAACCACCCTTTGCTTGGTCCTGGTCCTCAAACCTTGGCTACTGGCACTTGGCAAAGTTTGATTAAAAGGCCAACAGAGCAACTCGAGTTGCAACGGTCTTGGTTTTGAGTTGGGCGGGATATTGGGTCTATTTGGGGCACGTAGCCGGATGGAAGAATTTGCAATTTGAGAGCAGTGGCTGACTCAACTGCAGGTGAATGGAATGTAAATGTGCTGTGTAATGGGAGTTGGACAGGTGCAAGCCTGAGAAGGCTTTCAATATGGACATTTGCTAGTCAATATCCAATTTGAATATTTGGACGAGCTAATGTATAGGGTAGTTTAATTTAAACAGTTTTATTTGTTGACTTAATCATTTGTTTGCAATTTTTTCAACAAATTTTTTCATTCAATTTCCCCGGGTTGTTAATTAAATTAATGGACCAAATTCATGGAGCATGCATTCAATTGCCCGAAGCGCAATGTAACGTATTTTCAGTAATAAAATGAGAAACAAAAGCAAAAAAAAAGTTAATTGCGTACTCCTACCAATAGTACAATTTTCCCTTTTTAGAACTTTAATTTAACGAAAATTCCATCTTTATCAGGGGCCATGTGCGATATAAATCATTAAAAAATTTCTGTCCCAAATTAAAATAAAGAACTTTTAAAATAAACGTGTCTTCTCCTTTTCAGGCACTTGAGGAAAAATAAATATGTATTTTTAACATGGAAAAAAACCGAGAGTAGATGGAACAAAACCAAACCCGAATATTTAAAGCACGCGCGTCTGACCAACCCAGGCTGACCGTAAAAACTTTCTGCTAAAGGCAAAGCAAAACAAAACTGTGGCAAAAACATAAAACACAGCAAGAGGCATAAACAAACAGAGCGCAAAAGCATAAAGCATGAAGCATACAAGAGGCAACAACGAAATTTTCAACTTTTGTAATCGAGACCCTAGATGATGACAGGACGAAGGCTTGCGAAGCTGCTGCACCAGTTTTGAAAAAATAAACAAAAATATAAATATTTTACTTGTAGTTTCTCAGAGCAAACACCAACAAACTACGGCAAGCTTCAGCAAACTAGCCAAACAACAAGCAACAGCTGCCAAATGGGAAATAATCAAGCCCGGAGCAGGGACCCTAAAATATCCTGTGAAATTGCTTCGCAGACACTTTCCCCACCCTCGTATTTTTTAGTTTGGATGCAGACTTTTGTATTCATCGCACACCCAGTAGTCTGGCATCATTATTCATTTTCGGTTGAGGAAAATTAATGAGCTGGCCAAGCTTTCTCTCATTTTGAAGTGCTCAGACGGAATGAACTCGTAAGTTGACCTTACATTAAGCTCAACTAACTGGGAACTGGGATTAGTTTCCCGGCAACAAAGGGGATAATTGAATGAAATGCAAACATGGTTATAACCATAACAGGATTTCGAGGAAACGAATGGGTCAAGCCTGGCACTTGTTGTCATTGATTGGGTGCAAATCGATACCATGTCATGGAAACTGGGTCACGATGAGCAAACGAACAGAAAACTCAGACAGCAAAGGAAAAGTTGATGCCTCTTTTCCCCCATTCAGTTGCGGCTGTTACGAGCTCAGGCCATCAACCCACACAGAAGCCAACGACCAATTTATGTGCCGTGGTTATTACTATATACACACTATAGGAACCGTCTGGTCCAACTCCCATTGTTGTCGCGGACACGCCCGATTTCGCGGGCAATAAACGCCTCACATTAAAAGTGGGGTCAAAAAAAGACCTACAACATTTTTTAGTAAACAAAAAGGTGTTGTTTTTACAAAAGAGTAATTTTCTAATTTTAACCCATGTCTAATGGAAATGATCAAATGCTTTCTGAGTGCTTAGGAATCAATAGTCAAGTTATTCCTTTAACACAGTTCCATACGTCTTGCCTTGGCGCTAGACCCTTCATGTGGAGCATGTCAATTGCATCGTTAATAATGACAGTGCGGCAGATGGTCAATGCCCATTCCGCAGCCGGATGTCTGCCCATATATTACGGAACGTGTCCAAGGAATCTAGGTCCTGTAAGTATACGTCATTGAGTAATGGCTAAAACATGCAGCACGAAAATCTGCTGAGTGGATTAAGGAAACCTCCCAATATTCGTGTGATGAAGTTGAAATTGCTGTTTTGTCGAAATGTAACGAAGTTTATCTGGCTGATTGAGAGCGATCCTTTCTAAAACAAAAAAAAGAATAAGAAATTAAAAAAAATTCCACTTACCAAAGCGTGCTCCTAATAATAATGCACAATATGGCTAAAACTGTTATTACATTTCGTGACCACTTAAGTAACAATACCAAATAAAGAACTCAGATGCATTACTTAAATTCCACATTTTTTTTAAAACCCTTAATGTAAAAACAATATTTACAAATATTTTAGTCAGTCCAAAATAATAAATAACGAGAATAAAAAAGTATTAATAATTTAGATAGATATAAAACAAGAGTAAAAACGTTTTGCCAAGCGAATGGATTTTTTTGTGTGCTTGCGAGACGCCGCCAAGAATGTAAATTGAAGTGCAGCTGGGCGGATTCAGGCCGTGAATGCTAATTTTGGTGCGCCCACCAGCGAAAGTTCCCCTAGTTTATGCAAACGTTTTCATTAAACGAAGAAATCGCGTTTGTTGCGCATACGCCACGTGGTCGCAAGGACATCATAAGCCACAAACCCCGCCAATTCATGCATGGCTTATGTGCGGCTGAAGCCATAAATTCGCCAGTCAAGCACGTCGAAATTCTAATTTACTTCCTTGTGAGAAAAAAAATATTTGAAGCGAGCATATTCAATCGCTTCAAAAGGCCAAACAAATTTTTTTTTTAAATTTATATTTTGTACGAAAAATAACTTTCAATATTTAATTGGTATGACTTAAAAATATGTTAAATAATTTTTCTGGTGCTGTTTAATAATCTAAACTTAGATATTTGCAAAAAAACTTTAACATAACTGATTGTTTGTTGTCTTTTATAAATTATGAAAAGTATAGAGGAAGGCAAGTAATAAAAATGGCTGCAAAAGAAATGAGAAACATGAATGACAGCGGCGTTTCATGCATTTCAGATCGAGTGTCAGGGAACACGATTTAATATCACCCTTTTATTTGTTGACATCACCAACAAAAAATTGTACATGCCAACAAAATAAATGCAACGTCGTCATTATTAAACTTGAGCCATTTTTCTTGCTCCTTTCAGACACAAGTGGAGCTGTTGAAAAGATGTTGCAAGAAGCTCAGTTTCTTTCCACACCTTTGCTGGATCGCCCTGCCAAATAATGACGTCACGAAATGTACTCCCGTTTGGGTGGAGTGTTAACTTAAGCTTGACATTTTCCGCGTGCCCTACCATCAAAAGCCATTTCACGACCGACAGATGTCTGCCAACAGGGAATCTGAGGGCGAGCTAAAGTGTGAAACTGTGCACATGGTCATTTGGCATGGGTATGTCAGCAATATGGAAGATATGCGAGACAACTGGAGCATGAATATTGCACAGCTGGAATTGGAGGAAATATTTTTAAAAGCATTATTCAAATATTACTCAAAGCGATCTGCAAAACAGTTATTATATTGTTCGTCAGTCATCACAAGCAATATTTTAAAACTATTTCCTTTTGTTAAATTATAACATATATTAAATTTACTTTTGAAATTTCTTGGCGCTTACAGTAAGGCGGCGAATTTTTTCACCAATTTTGAATTCTGCCATCTGGAATGGAGCCAATGAAATTTTCGTTCAACAAATCCGGAAAAATTTTGAATGGGATGTGTGGTATCCTTTTGCGAGTATAATAACTAGTAATAAAAGTCTAGTTCTGAATCACAATGGATTTTTAATGTGAACCCATGATAAATCGCTTCCCAACAAAATATTAACTGAAGGGAAATATTCAACCCTTTACGTTTAGTTTACCATTTCTTATTTTGATAAAGTTTTTCGATTGGTTAGATTTAAAAAAGAAGATTTAAGCTCCTGTTACGCTATGTAAATGTATGCTTGAATGTTTCTGGTTATATATTAAATGCTTATTGATTTGTGCACTTTAAATCTTAATTCTCCGACTAATTGCCAGCGTTTGAAAAGCGTTGAAGCTGACCATAACAAGACTGCAACAGTTTTCAACAAATTAAGAGTTGCAATTGTAAAGTTTGGATTGGTCCGCTAATAGTTTTAAAAGTTTTCTTCTTAGGGTGTTTCTTGACTTCATTTAAATGTTATTTAAATCATATTCTCAACATTACAGCACAGTTCTCCTTTCCCCTTATGGAAATGTGGCACAACCACAGGGGCTTCCCAACTGGGAGCACTCAGGTAAAATGAAATTAAGAACTTGGTTTTTACTTCTGATGGGCTAAATCATAATCTTAAATTTCCTGTCATTTATGTTTTTATATGTTTTCTTTCTTTTTAAACCTTAAAAGGCAATACAACATTTTAAAACGGATATAGTAATTAATTGAATTTAGTATTCTCCTTTTGTTTTTTATTAGAAACAAAAACGTTTTTAAAGGAATTATTTTTGAAAAATGGCCATATATAAAAAGCTTACAGCCTACCCTAAATAGTTAACTAGAGACTACATAATTGGATAAGCTCAACAATTTAAAACCAGCCAGCCAGGCAAGCTAGCTGTAAGGTGGTGTAAAGGGATACACAATGTCTGAGTTAATATGCAAAACGATACCCAGGTCCACAGGAAACAGCGTATCTCAACCACAGGCTCACAGAAAACATGGACAAAACTTTATCCTGACACGCTCACATAATACTCAACACCATCAACGAAACGTCCGCATTAATTTTCCAAGTTATCTCCTTCCTCTGAGGACCTAAACACCTACTTAAGTGCTTTAGCATAATTTTCGAAAATTCTCTATGAAATTTTAATTTCCTCACGCACACACATGGCGAAGAGTATTTGAGCAGGGGCATTAATTAGCTTAAGTTTACACGATGTCACTTCGGAATACCCAAGGAATACACATGAAGTAAGTACATAAAATTAATTGGATTGTTTGGTTAGCATGAGGTGTGCTGTTCTCTAACCTTATTCATCTTTAGAATCTTGCTTTTCTTTTCATCCGCTTCCGCAGTTTCAATTTTTTGTCTGCCTTGCCGGGATAGTATGTATATATTAATTAAAAATATTAAGATATTGAATAATAAGATTTTAATCTTAATCTATTGGTCTTATAGTGTTTTAGTCTTCTAGTAAGTCCTGCCGTCCTTTAAGTAAAAAGAAAGTTCTAAGATATTTTCTAAGAATAATGTTTGGTCGGGGACCCCTGAAAGCAATGCCTCTCATACCTCTTATAGTATGAAACAAAGCTTCTGTGGGGAAGCTTTTTTTATCTCATTTTTCGCTTTATAATAAGCGTTGTCTTGACAATAGAAAGGAAGCCCTGCACTCGACTTCCCCTCATCTGATATAAAACGAAGCCAGAAAATTAAATTAGTAGAACAGAAGTTAAACATCAACTGCGGATTTCAGATTTTTAGGAGACAGGGAACAATGTAATCCATTTTTGCGTACCTGTCTAATGTTTGGAGGGATGAAATTTTGAGAGACACGAAAACGTGTCAGGAGTATGAGTTGAAAAAGCTAATTAATCGTTTTTAAAGTTCGGAAAAGACAAGGAGCTGACGGGTTTCTTTGCAGCTGTACTCCTTTATTAATTTATTTTTTATAGGTGGATTAATAATTTATTTACTAAGAGCAGAAATATATAAATGCAATAAAGAAACTCTTTAAACATTATGTTAGTAAAAACAATTTTATTTTTGCAATTCAAAGTCTAACCTTGAGCTCTACAATTTTGTTTGGCTCGTTGTTCAAATTAAATAAAGTGAGCAAGCACCCCGCAGCATTTAATGGCAAACATTTGTTGAACTGACACTTTACTACCAGTTTTCCATTTTCCATTCGCTGCTGCGGGCAATGTCAAATTGTCAGACAAACAAGAAGCGAAGTGGGAGACTGAATGCACAATGTCAGAGGGCCGACAGGGCGTATAATCAATTTGCTGATGTAATAACAAAACAAACTTGAGTCTGTGTAACAATCAACTCAAATATGTATTTGGCTTTAACGAGTTATCATAACGCGATTGAAATCAAGTATCATCAGCTTGATTGCAAAATCAATCGACTTATGTCGAAATGTTTTACGAAACATTTTACAATTTTTTACTTATTCAGACTAAATATGTCGTTCAATGTCGTATTTAATTTTTGCTCTTACAGATTTTCGCATGTCGCATCGCATTTTCAACTCGATTACAAAACTTTAGCCCAGTTCTACCTTTTTTGCAATTTAATTATCACACCACGAACATTCTAAGCCATCCTGTTGCAAGTGCAATTTCCGTTCTAAATATTTGGCAACAAAGCGGTCGTTCAGGTCCTTCAAGAACAAACTAAATTTTTGTTTAATTTCTATGTTGGTTTCTCCAACAAAGTTTATCCTTGGCTAAAGTTGTAAAATGTTCAACGTGTTTTTATTAAGCCATTAGACTAAACCTTGTCTTGGGTACCTAATGTACTTTATATATTTTTGTTACTAATTGGACAGTGCAAAGAGATTATATAAGGACACTTCCCTTCTTTCGTGCAGCATTAAATTTTAATTCGATGAAGAAGCGTTGCTGAGAAGTATATATCAATAATAGGGCAACAAAAAATAATAATTTTGAATTTTTTTCCCTCCTGTACTTCTTCAATATCAATGTCACTAGCAGTTAGTTGTCCAACATTTAAGATCGTTTTTCGGCTTTGATGTTAAGCTTAATATTTTCAATGCCCTCACGCTTCATGTAACAAAGGGAAATGCGAACAAGTGAACTTGAAGGTAAACTCACTCACCTTTTCACCTCGTTGAATCCATGGCTAAGAAAACACATTTAATTGTTATGTTTTCCTGGATGGTTTGCTTTGCTCTTCTGCCTGTTGGTCAAGTAAATTAATGGATTGGCCCTTCTCATTCCCTGCACTTTTGCCATCTCGATGGGCTGCCTGTTGATGTTTGTTTTGCCCTCTTTGTTGCCTTGACTTGTTTTGCTGCGGTTTTCAGCTAATTGACAAAAAGTATAAAGCCATCGGAGGATGCGGAGAGTGGAGGTGGCATTGGAATTTTCATTTTAATTAATTAAATTATGGTGCAAAATGTTTGTGCCTCCTTAAGGTACTTTGTTCATTAAGTTGGAGGAGCTGGAGCAAGGCGATAGCTGTAAGACCCACTTTATATCATACCTTATCTTTGGTTATACCCAAACAATTTAATTAAATGTCTAATACAAGATCACAAAATTAAAAGTTTAAGTTACTCATAAACCAGTTGCAAAACAATTGGGTACAAAATGACATGCCTGTATAGTGTTTAAAAATATAGAAACTTTAAAAAGGATTTATGTAAACTATTGAGAACATTGCAATGTTGCAATTATAAAAAAATAACAAATATTGTATTACATGTGACTTATTTGTTTCCAACTCAATTCATCTGAGCCAATAAGTGCAGCTGTCAACTTTAATGCTACCAGCAAACATTTTGCATGCAGATTTGGTTTGGGCCAAGCTTTGTAGCAATTTCATGGCATTTTGACAGTCGCCTGGCAGAATGCAAATCCAATAGTTGCAGGCATTCAGGCGAGTTAAAGTCAAAAGATGCATCAGAAAGGGGCTATGAAATTGTCAGAATGGATTTAACTTAGGAAAGACAATTTACGGCACAGTCATTCTTTGCCTCGGCACCATAATATTATATTTAGTAGGGCTACAATTTTGCCCTTGCACAAGGTCTGCATCCAAGCCAATGAAGCAGAAAGCAGCTGCACTTCCGACCCAGATTTTGTGGCCAGAATGGATATTGCCCTGCAATCCCACCATCTCATTCTCATATAATCCATTTGAAATTTAAATAATTGCCCAGTCATATTTTGCAGCAGAAGAACACCAAATTTATAGCCATTTAATTCTATAATATCAATTTTGTGCCTGTTGATTTTATTATTTGCAGAAGGTTAACTCTTGAGAAACATAAATTATGTTTATACAGCCCAAAAAACTTATCATGCTTCTTACATAAATTAAAATTACCTGTTAAAATGGTCTGCCACACAAAAAATATCGTGTATAAGACCTAAGAAAACTTCACAAACTCGTGATAGGAAATGCAAATAATATATGTTTACATTCCACTCCGCATACAAAAAAATTTGTTTTTAAACGATATTTACCGAGGGTTGGAGTATAAGTCTAAAGTCTATAAAAGCTCAACAGGGAAAGCAAACAAGGTAAAAAAGGAATTAAAATGGTCTTCATTTCCTACATCAAGAAAAGTAAACAATTCTCAAATATTTTTTAAATTTAGAATGTTTGTGTTTGTTTTAAAATGTAAGATCGTGGCGAAAGGTCGAATTAATATGCAGTTTAAAGCAAAAATTCTTAATAGTAAGGTTAAAGATAAATTAAACACATAAAAGGAAAATAAGTTTTATTCAACTTACTTCTTTTTTTTATGTATTATTGAACCTTAAAAGGTCTTGAAAAAACGATTTAAATAATAATCATTTGGCCAGAAGAAGTTTGTTTCTCTAAAGTTCCAAAACAAATCAAAGTATTTTATTTGCGTTGTGGAAATCCAAAGGAGTGGTATGAAAAATGATGGCTCTTTGTGTATATCACTGATGATGAACAAAACACATCCCCTGACGGAAGCAATCTGCACAATGCAAATTTGTAAGTCGGCTCCAAACTTCCTTTTTCCGCCGCCATTTCCCTTA